TATTTTAAGATACTCAGGAATAAGTCCATAAGTGCTATTATCTATGTTTTTTAAAAGATTTATTTATTTATACATACAAAACCTGGGGTACAGAGGTTCAGAGGGTGAGAGGATTCCCCAGAGACAGTGTGGAGCAGAACAGGCAGATTTGGGGGAGACAGGAGAGGTCTGCTGTGCCTTGTGGATCACCTCCCTGACCGAGAATCAAACTCATGCTACAGTGGCTGTGGATAGCTTCATAGAGCTGAGCTTTAACCCCTTGTGCCACCAGAGAGGGCCCCTGCTATTATTTATGATTTCAAGTATAGTAAAATGAGATACATAGATGGAAACCCCTCCTACTTTGGAGACACTATTCACTCCATTGCACTGGGTTATAACACATTGTGGTTATAACAAGGCAATAGTCACAAATACACAGTCCTAAAACATGATGAAGTGGGACCTTTAGTAGACCTGTTGGGTAAGTTTTAATAATAAACCAAATTAACATATGAAATATACTTAAAATAGTGCCTGCCACCTGCATGTGTGTAACATGAATGTGTACATTTGAATATGTGTGTATTATATACATACATGTATTGCTATACACATATACAATATATACATGTGTTATGTATAATACACACACATATGTCTGTATCTATGTGACATAAGGGCAAGCATACATACATGTATATCCCAGCACAGAAACACATACACACATACATACCCAATTTGCAAAGAAATAAGTAAATAATAATTAGCATAACCAGTAGAACGCCTCTACCAGGTTCCTAGTCCTAGAGACTTTTAAAAGGAAAATTTTTGGAAAAGTACTTTTCCCTTAGTTTCTTCATCAACTAGTCCTAGAGAACACCCTTGTTTTTATAAAAGTTCTAAGAATGGATTCAAAGTAAGAAAAGCAAAAGTCACCAGTCTAAGATATATGATTTGGCCTCAATATTCTCACCTCAGGGCCTACCTGTCAATCTCAATGAATTTGAAACAGGCAAAGCAGGTAGTCCAGCTTCTCATTCCAATCCTACTTTAGCCTATGGTGCTAAATTTGCTATATATTATATACTCTTGGAGGTCTTTTTTTTTTTTTTTTTAACACCTTCTGGGGAAGACAATAAAATTTCTAATGAAGGCCAAAGACCCACTTCAGTTTCAGTTGCTTCAGTTTCAGTTCAAAAGCAGAGGCAGCTTCCTCTCCTAGAAGAAACTGCTGCAAGAGATGGCTGTGTGTGTGTGTGTGTGTGTGTGTGTGTGTGTGTGTGTGTGTGTATGGGGTAGGGAGATGGAGGTGGGCTAAGCTCATCTCTTTGCATTCCTGGCTGGGGGTGTAGACTAGTTTTCAATGCCCAGGAAATTGCTCAGTGGAAACTCCAGCCAGGTTGGTGAGGTCATTGCCTGGATGATGAAGGATGACCAAAAGAAATATGCTACTAAAACTCCAGGAGCGACCCTAAATCTCCAGAATTCTTAAGACAGAAAAGAACAAAGGCCCTCCCTGGTGGCACGGGGAGTTAAAGCACAGCAGTATGAAACTCTCCACCGCTACTGCCACAGGATTTCCATCCCCCAACAGGGAGCTGACCCACGTGCCACAGGAGAGGTCTGCTTGCCATGTGGATCACTTCCCTGGCCGTGTATCGAACTAGCAGTGTGGACAAGCATTAGCTGATCGACTTTTCAGGTTTGATTGATCTGGGGTATCTTTAGATTTCCCTACTAAACCGTGTACAAGTGGTAACTTGCCTGCAGGAGAAAATAGAAGAACTGAAGCGATGCGGGAGGCGAATCACAGTTCAGCGCCAGATAGGCAAGGATGGAGGGAATGAGGAATCCGAGAGAAACAGTCCTCCCCAAACCCTCCCCGAGTCCCCAGTACCAGTCTACCGCACGGAGTCTGACCACTGCGCGTGCCTCTGTGTTCGCAAGTAGCTTTCACGTGCTAGTGACTGCAACACGTGGGAATCTGGGCCTGGGAAGGAATCAGAGCGTAGAAGTGGGCCAGAAACCTTGGGAACTTTCCTCGGGAGTGTTGGGTTTCAGCCTCCGCTCTCCAATGCCTATGAACAGGTGCAGAGAAGCGCGTGCGTCCTCCAGAGTTCCTAGGTTTGACTTAGGCTACCCCGGACAAACCGATTCCAGGCGATACAGGCTTCCCTTCCCTCCCCCGCCTGCGCCCCCTCCCCGCCCCCAGCCGACCAACGCCAAAGGAAGCTGAAGGACTCCGCATCCATTCAGACAGCGCGCTCGGAGACCGCGTACCCTAGGCGCGGGTGAATTCTGGGCATTCTGCCCCTGATGAGGGCACAGCAAATACTAATGCAACAACCCGTTAGAGTTCCTCCTCCTCCCAACCCCATCTGTCGCTGCACTCGGAACTCAATCTACCTGCTTGGACTTCACCAGACCAGCGCAGCTTCGAAACTGCTGGACACTGTGACCTTGTTTCTTTTACAGCTGCTAGCAGGTATTTCTGACCAGAGCTTCTGTCGGCGACAGCAGTTTGCAGGGCAGATGGGCAGGGTTATGGAATAGTAGACTCTCACCTGAGAACGTTCAGGCACTTAGAGTTTTAAGATACACCCGGAAGTTTGAAAATGAGGCATTAGAATAAAACATTTCTGAGTTTGCCTTGGCTCAAGGCAAAACTAACTCTGGGCACCTTTCCTCTATTCCTTCCCGCCAAAATGGTCTCCAGGCAGACTGATCAGCACAGCTTCCCAGCCCCGAAGTGTCTGCCACAAACACACCTACCTGGATCGTCTGGGCAATAGCTCAGCCAGGACTGGGCTTTTTTCCTGATTGTGTGATTAAGTTAATGGCCATAGAAAAGAAAACACAGAGGAAGTCATGGATTGTCTACATGTATCCTTCAAAAATACGATTCTAAAGGCACTTCCCCGGGCTCCATGTGCCCCCAGTGGATCTTTTTTTTTTTTTTTTTTCACAAAGCAGTATTTGCTTACCTTTTTGTAGACCTAAGTTCATTTCTCTCTTTTATAAAAATGATGCCCAACAGGTAATGAAGTCACCATGATGAAACAGAGGTCCTGGAAGGATTGAAGGAAAGGAAGGTACATGCAAGTTTGTTTTTCTGTTCTTTTGTTTGTTTGTTTGTTTGTTTTGTTTTGAAAGTTGTGCCTGAGGCAAACTGGGTCGGTTTGTTTTTAAGACTTTTTTTTTTTTTGCTCCAGCATCCCAACATGGACAATTTGTTGCGTCTCAGGCACTGTGATTTAAGGTCTTTTGAAACCTATCTTCCCTTTTGCCCTCAAATACCTTCCTCACTTCTTGCCATCAAATTTAATTCACCACTAATTTTGGTCTTTTCTCTAGATAGCTCCTTTTCGTTTTAATTGGAGCTTCTTCACTCTTCACAGCATGACAGCTGTTCTAGAAGTACTTTAAAGATAGGAGAACTTGCCACACTCACTTTAAGGAAGAGAAAATCAAGATGTAGGCATTTCAAATGATGTCAGTGATGACCTCCAGGATCACACAATTCCTGAATAACAGAATTCAAACTGAAATTCTGAACCATACTTTACTGGAGATTACTGTATCACTTCATGCAATTATTGCCTACAAAGATAAGAGCAGGTCTCAGAAACGTAGTGCCAAAAAGTACTTGGATGATCTTAATTAACAAAGATAACCTACTTTTTCTACCATCATGGGTGACATTATGGATATATTTCTTTGCCTTATCCCTAGACTTTTAAAACAAGATTTATTCATTTATGCATACAGAACTGGGGTGCAGGCCAGAGGTACAGGGTCATTGAGAGGGTTCACCAGAGACAGAGTGGGGGAGCAGAACAGGGAGATCCACAGAGTACACTGCTGAGGGGAGCAGCGGGGCAGGACAGGATAGGTCTGCTGCACCATGTGGGTCACCTCCTGGGCCTAACCCATTGTGCTACCAGGGAGGGCCTGCCTTATCCTTAGTCTTTACCTACTCTTCATCTACTTCCTTCCACAATCATGCCAGTTTCTTTAGTCACCGTAAGATAATGAGGACTTTAAAATATTTCTACTAAAGCCTGCAGTGAACTTGTTAAAGTTGTCCATTTCAGACCTTTTCATAAGCCTCCTTTCTGGTATAGGGGAAGTATGGGGTGGGGTGAAGAGGAAAAGGCAGATAAGAACACCCCCTGTGATAAATAAAGCAGCATAGTATCTGCTATAGCTGAATCATAGTGACTCTGAAGATTAAGCTCATGCTGCCCTAAGATGTAAAGGATCATTTTTTTTTTTTTTTTTTTGGTTTGGCATCTATGGCTATTGGACATTGAACACTATTTAGTAAGAATTACTGTTGTGTATGAAAAGTTAGGAGGGACTTTTCATAAAAGGAAGAGCAAGGTGAGAAGGAAATTTGTCAGGTTCTTCTCTATCTTAATGTTCCAGGACTAAATTTTCTTCCCCCAGAGGGTAGACAGCTGATCCAGTCTTTAGAAGGAAAGGTGTGCCCTGCAATGCATAGATACTGTTGTCATTTCACCTTGGGTTCTAGAGAAACTTTCCGTAGGGTCTTTCCAAGGGCTGAAGGGTTTTAGATTTCAGTATTCTCTTCCATGTAGCATCGCTAGAAAATATACCAGGCATTTCATTTGGTCTCTCTGAACTAGGCCTGAAAATTGTTGTCTGGCCACTTATGAAGATGCTAATTACCCTGTTGCTGAAAAGAATGCTAATATCCCAGTGACAGACTAGCTACATAGCATAGGCATCTTTGTCCAATAAATGATTTGTGCATTGATCACAAAGCCCAACATATTCCAGCCAAAGATTTTCCAAATGTTATCCAAATCTTAGCCTCTTACATTTAGTCTCAAAATTAGCTTAAATATGCAAGTGGGGATATGGTTCAATACTCTTTCCTTCTCTCTCTCTCTCCGTTTCTTTTCAAGGGTTGAGTAAAAATAGATGGTATCTACTAAAAGTGTAGCCCTCTGCTAGAAAAAAAACATTAAACACTTTTCAAAAAGTTGCTTTGAAGAAAATAGTTATTTATTGTCAAAGCATCCAACATACCCGGATAATCTATAAAGTTTAATAAATCTTTCCAGGGATAAAAGAAACACATAACTATTCAGACTCCATTTCACTGGCACAAAAATTACACTTTGTATTAAAAGGAAATACATATTTACATAATGATGACATTCTTCATTGAAGTCCATAATCATTTCATGATACATGCACTTCCCCCTGGAAACTTAAGTTGAATGTAATCCCCTTTTTTATTCATTTTGTTTATTTTTGTAAGAACACAAACTGTCATCAAGAAATGCAGAAAGCATCTCACCCTCCTTAACTTGATATCTAAAATAAATTTTGCCCTTACATATAATTATTACATCTAAACCGTAAGTGCTTAATAATTTAAGTAGAAACGTATGACAAATGCATCAATATGTTGCAATATATGACATTTAAAAAATGTACCTTTGTTTTTGGGAAAGTGAAAATGCGTGCATTCAAAAGAAAACCCCTACCCACCCAATCTAATCCACCGTTCTGTTGTGTGTGTGTGTGTGTGTGTGTGTGTCTTAGTCTCGGGTAGACGTCTGACTGAGAAGGGGGGGGGGCGTGTGTGGTTGTGTGCGTCTATCTCTGGGTGCAGCGGTCCCAAGGAAGTGGTGGAGGTCCTCGTGTGTTCCTGTAGGTGGCTTGACTGTGCTTGTGCGCGCCTGGGGAACTGGGGTCCGCTCCGTGTCAATTATGCGAGGTCATGTGCCTGGACAGGTGGTGGCGCTCCCTGAAAGACTCGTTGCAAATGGGGCACTTGAGTTTCTCCTCCCGCCGCCGCTTCACCAAGGGCTCCATGGCATACTCCTTTTTGTGATGCGACCGCATGTGGTAGACCAGGTCGGAGGTCATGCGGAAGGAGGCATTGCACTTGGCGCACCAGTTCTGCGCGGGCAGACACAGCGAGGTGAAGGAGGGCGGCAACAGGGTGAGCGCCGAGGGCAGCTGCAGCTGCAGGGGGCCCGCGGCGGCCGCGGCGGCGGCGGCCGCGGCGGCAGCGGAGCTCTTGGGCCAGAAGGCAGTGGCGTAGAGGAAGGGGCTCTGCTTGGGCAGGCCGCCGCCCGCGCTCGGCAGGGCCCCGCACGCTCCGTTCAGGTCCGCTGCCCCCTGGAGCTTCACGGCCAAAGGGTCGCCGGCGGAAGGGTAGAGTCTGGTGGGGCCCACGCCGTCGCCGGGGTGACACGGCTCCAGCGCGCTCAGCTTCTGGCCCAGCACCAAGGGGGACAGCTGCGAGAAGGAGCGTGCCGGCTGCGAGAAGGCGCTTTTGCGCTCGTCCGACGCCGCGCCCTGACCGCCGCCACCC